CCCCAAAACCCCAATCCCCAAAACCCCAAAACCCCAAAACCCCTGATTAAGTCGAATCATTGAATATTTATCAAATTTATTTGAAAAAATTGCTGAAATCTTTAATTATTTGGTTAGATATGCTATCTAAGAAATTGACTGTTGATAAGATCCCCCACATGATTAAGAACAAGAGAGTCTTAGTCAGAGTAGACTTTAATGTTCCAATTAAGGATGGAAAGGTTGCCGATCCTACAAGAATTGTATCTACTCTTGATACAATCAACTTCTTAAAGGAAAATGGTGCTAAATCCATTGTGTTGATGAGTCATTTGGGTAGACCAAAAGGAGTTAGACAAGAACAATTCTCATTAGCTCCTGTTGTCCCAGCGCTTGAAGACATTATTGGCCAGAAAGTTAACTTTTTAAACGACTGTATTGGTACTGAAGTTGAAGGAGAAGTGGCAAATACTAAAGATGGAAATATCCTGCTTTTGGAGAATCTCAGATTCTACTTGGAAGAGGAAGGAAAAGGAGTCATAAATGGAGAGAAAGTCAAAGCTGATCCAACCAAGGTTGAGTCTTTCAGATCCCAACTCACTAGACTTGGAGATCTTTATGTAAATGATGCTTTTGGAACTTGCCACAGAGCTCATTCCTCAATGGTTGGTGTCAATGTGGACACCAGAGCTGCCGGATTTTTGTTAAAGAAGGAACTTGATTACTTCTCAAAAGTTTTAGAAGATCCTAAAAGACCTCTCACCGTTATTCTTGGAGGAGCTAAAGTTGCAGATAAAATTCAACTGATCAACAATTTGCTAGACTTGGCAGATGAAATGATCATTGGTGGAGGAATGGCTTTCACATTCAACAAAGTCCTGAACAATACCCCAATCGGAGCATCCCTCTATGATGAAGAAGGAGCTAAGACTGTTCATGGCATTATGGAAAAGGCAAAAGAAAAGGGAGTAAAGATTCATATTCCAAGTGATTTTGTTTGTGCTGAGAGCTTTGCAGAAGATGCTAAATTTGCCTACAAAACTGAAGATGAAGGAGTCCCAGATGGATGGTTAGGTCTGGACATTGGAGATAAAACTATTCGCAGCTTTGATGAGGTTATTAGAAGATCTAACACCCTTTTCTGGAATGGACCTTCAGGAGTTTTTGAATGGAAAAACTTTGCTAAAGGATCTCATGCAATGCTTCAAGCTGTTACTGAATCAACCAAGAATGGAACAGTTTCTGTATGTGGAGGAGGAGATACCCTCAATCTTTTGAAGCAAGTAGATGGAGCCAAAGAGAATATTTCTCATGTTAGTACTGGAGGAGGTGCCTCCTTAGAACTTGTTGAAGGAAAAGAACTTCCAGGAATCAAGGCTTTGTCTGATATCAACTAGCTTGGTTACTCAACAATTTCAACACAATGCTCTAAAGAAGGGGTTTTGGGGTTTTGGGGTTTTGGGGTTTTGGGG